TGTCCTGTAAGTTTTACATATTCATGGCATACGGAGCATTTGTCAAAGTAGCATTGGTGAGGTTCTTTTGACGCTGAGGTTTGAAACTCCTCTCGACACATAGGGCATTGAACAAGGCTGTCGCAGATCTTTTTCTCTTTATGCATGTCATAACACGTCTGACTGTAAAACTTTCGGCAACAAGAAGAACAGGGTACTTCACGCAAGGCATAATCAGGTTTTGCGCCACATTCTACTTGTTTGCATGCATGACATCTTCGACCCTCACATGGATGATGTCTGAAGTCATTATGATCAAATCCCTTGTTGCACTGATCGCAAAAATAGGATCGTTCTAGAAAACCAGCGTAAGATGTGCAAGTGTCATAGTGACCAGTCTCAGAGTCATCGTGTTTCTGGAGCAAGAGGCGGATAATATGCGGTGCTTCTGGGCCTACAAATACCATCATGTAGGGGTAGGAAGTTGCCATGACTTTCAATTGGTAGTCTGGTGCTAGGAAGTCTTGAAATTTTTTCAATTCTTGGTGCCCGCATGCCCCCAAAGGTACGCCCGCATCTTCATGGAGTTGATAGGCCATTCGTGATCGAACAGTCTCACATTTTCTTGCATTCTCGTAATCGATTTTCTGTCGATCCCCTCATCTTTATGGATCCATGCTTTTGCGACACAAATGGCTCTTGCACAACACAATTCGTCTGAATTTGTAATTTGAATCACGGAATGTTTCTTTTTCAAAACTTCTGCCATGGATCGCTTTCCCAATAGAGCTTTTTGTCTACCACTTTTACCACCTTTAGGCATTCGAATAAAGGTAAGGTCGGCGGTAAACTTAGAAGAGGATTTAAACGATTCTCCTGAATTCAATTTATTAGCCATAGTAGTCATGTAATTTTCAAAGCGTTCTGAATTCTTCATGATTTCTTCTACTTTGAATGTGGCTGATTGTTGGGCGTGGGCGAATTGATTCGATTGTAATGTGAAATGGAACGCGTCATGAGATGAACATTTCTTTTGCTGAATTTGTTTCCGTATCGATCTAAAAAAATAACCCAAAATAAATTTCGATAAGAGTGTATCCCCTGAAACTTTTATTCAACACACTTTTTAAACTCTTACCTCGCTAACGCATTTGTAATTTCTTTTCCGATATTGTCGTCTTGGGATGGAGTTCGTGTCTGCTTGAGGGTGGCCTCATATCTTTGTTTATCCGCTGTCTTTTTCCAATTTTTTGGGAATCCAGCATTTTGAAATTCAAAGTTAAAGAGAGCGCCACCTGATTGTTCCACACCCAAGCCTATATTGAGGGCATCCAATTGTTGTTGGTCCAATTGATCATACAATTCATTGAGTTGATCGTCAGAAATTTCCCCGCCATACTGTTGTTTTTCAAGTTCATCATAATGTTGATTTAATAGGTAATCCGAGACACTATCCTCTTCCTCCACATCATCATTCTTTCTTTTTGCCATCATCAAATAATTCTACAATTAACAAGACATGACACAAATATAAGTTTCACTCGCATTTTATTTACATGAGTTTGTACTTTTACACGGTTAAAAATCCTCAGGGTTTTTCATGTACTCCTTCACTAATTCCGTCGCGGTTTTTAAGTTTTCTTTTTTAACCAGTTTTAAGAGCTGCAAAAAAACTTGAGTGCGATGTATTTTCTGTTTGGTTAGCGCTTCGAGAATGTTCTCATAGTCGATCATGTCGTCTCGGCACTCGGGACAGATATAGGCGGTAGGCTTCTAAAAACGTAAAACATTTGTAACGTATTAAAAATGCTGCTTGCCTGCCGCGACAGTCTTGTTTTAACACTATCATACTGACCTCCAACGTTTTCTTTTCTTGTTGCGCCATCTTCACTCAGTCTCTCTGCAGGTTAGGGCAGCCTTGGGCAGCTTCAGGCAGCCCCGAACAGCCATCTTTTTCAGACAAAATCTTACACTGCGCATGCGTAAAGTCTCTGACAGACATCTCACACTGCGCATGCGTAACGTGTTGTAACATCTCCCACATGGATGGGAAGTGAGGTCTTGACATACATATATATCTCATCATGATGTCATATGTGTAACATGAACATACAAGTACACGTTACATTTCCCTAAGGGAGGCCGTCAACCAATTTTTACCCCAGCTACACCCTCATATTATGAATATATTACACCGCCATCTTGAATGATGTCATTTTCTGATGGCGTCTCCGCCGCCATCTTGAATCCTCCCTATGGGACCTAGAGGCCATCTTGAATCCTTTGTTATTTATGTTAATTGATGGCGGCATCCCTTTGCTCCCTATGGAGACGCCCTATACTACTATGGAGAAAGATAGGAAGACATCCCACCTTATTTTGAAGAAGAATAAACAGGGACAAAACGAGTCACTATTGGAAAGACAAGAAACGTAATCTGGGTAATACTTGCAGATAATTCCCAGGGCGTTTTAAATGATGGTTTTTGTTATACACAGTTATGTTAAGAATTAGCAGCGTCAGTCAATTGATAACAAGCAATAATCCTATCCATGACCATTCATTTTACGCAGAGTCTTAAAAAAACATTGAGATCACAGATTGTGGGCTAGCCAGCTTACAGCCTGCGCGTAGTGTTCACCGCAATTCACAGATGACGGCTTCTTTTTCAAATATTCGCATCATTTCTTGGTGCGCAAATACTTACGTGAAATTATTCTTATATGCGGAACACTCAATCAAAGAACCCTAGTACACTCTAGGCTATAAGTTCAGTAGCAAGATTGGCCCAAATTCGCTCCCGGCATGACAGCAAGCATAGAAAAAACCAGATATTATGGTATAATGCAACTGCTTTGTAGTATAGTATTCGAAGCCATTCCTATTATCACGTCGTAAGGGAATGTCATCAAAAGATATCCTGGTCAAGGCCTAACTCTGAAGAAAGGAGATTCAAAATGTCTTGCGAATGTCGAGTCACGCAGGCCCGTCACCCCTCTTTAACAAGACAAAGCTGTCTCTGTCGGGAGGGAGTACGACGGGTGCGTATGCACATCCCCTTCCCCCATGGGCCACAACAGTCCGTTTACTTGATACCGGCGATTCAAGAGAGAATATGTTACAAAAATAGGCCTTCAGAACAGTTCTCAAAAGGCACAAAATGCATTCTCACACAACCTAATTTCCTTTAATTTTTTCTGGGGAACATGCTCCTGGACCCCTTCCCCCCAAATCTTGCACCTCTGGCGCCCGTCCATCCTCAAACGCACCCCCTTGCGCTAAAACTTGTCTACGGGCCTGCAGAGATATTTGGGTCAAACAAACCTATTTGTCTGAAGGTGGAAGATTCAAAATTGCTTGCGAATGGCAGGAGTCGTGTAGGCCCGTCGCCACTTTTTAACATCTTTTTTTTAGCTATACGTTTTTACTAACCTTGATAACACTAATGGAGAAATGGCACCTTATTCAAAACTAACTGGCTTAATGAGCAATATGTAAGGAAAGTATTGAAAAGATAATTCTGGTAAGAGCTCTTAAAATTCTGGAAAAAAAGATTTTAAATCGCTTGCGAGTGGTAGGAGTCGCGCAGGCCCGTCAACACTACTTGGCACCATTACTTGGTCAGTCGAGTGCCATACGACAGTAGCAAGACGTTAGAATCGGCCCCTGCTTGAGCTCCTTATTCAAATGATGGTGTGACATTTATCGGAAGAGAATTGTGTTTTTCATGACTATGTGTAAAGATAAGTACTCGAGTGAGGGGAGCTAAGAATGCTAAGCCACCGATCGACAATGAAACACAAATACCAAGCCTTGAAATGATCTGTGTAATTTTTATCGCTACTCAAGCCAATAGAAGCTCATTTGTGGTTGATCTTATGTCAAAAAGAAAACACTTACAGGCGTTAGCACATGTCAGAAATTATTGTATTGCCAAATTTTCCAAGAGGATGCCCTAGAGAAAGAAATGCAAAGTCTGAGGCGGAAAACAGACCTTAGAGAGGCTTGTATGACTAGAGTTCCACTTGAACCTACTGAGTGTTTTGTCACAGTAAATTAAAGGTTCGGTATGTTACCATGGGAAAACACGAAAGAAGATCTCTATCATCTTCCGCGATGTCATCAGTATTTGATTGGGTAAGATCGCTTTTGTGAAGAACCGGAAAACTTCACTCTTCGTGATGCTCTTGCACTGCTCATCCAAGCAATCCAATATTGTGAACCGAAGCATGATCTACATGATTCTTACAGACAAAATACCACATTCACACACACACACACACACACACACACACACACACACACACACACACACACACACACACACACACACACACACACACACACACACACACACACACACACACACACACACACACACACACACACACACACACACACACGCAATCCCACACACTTTATTAATTTCCAATTAAATTTTACAGAAAAGGGCATGCCCGCAACTAGCAAAGACTAATCAAGGCGGGCCATGCCTTAATAGCCGAATTACAAAAAAGAAGTAGAACTAAAAGAAGTAGAAGGGAAAGAGACAGTATCGACTAACAACAAGAAAAACCGTTACATTGACCTAATTTATACTAACTAAAATAATAAGGTACAGCTACTGTTTATAAAAGATAGTCAGGACAGATCAGAATAAGTATTACCAGGATTTAACATTTTGTATAGTCTCAGATAAATCTATATAAGAGTCTTGTGAACCTAATATGTTGAGTAAAATTTGTTTGAGTTTTCTTTTAAGTGCATTTTTGGAAAGATTTCTTAATGCTTGAGGTATTGCATTCCACACTTTTACTCCTATTCAAGAGAAAGAATTCGCTTGAACGGATAGCCTAGAAGATTTGGTATAGAGGTTATTGGAGGCAGATAGTGAAATTCAGTTCAGAGGTTTTGGATGGTCTGATAACGGAAACGATGACACCCTGGAGGACATGTTTCCCGTGCTGAAACAAAGCGAATAATTCTCAAAACCTGCACTGGCAAGTGGTTACACAAATATTATGGGAAATGATAATTTGTATGTGCAAGCTATTTAGTTGTCAATATATCCCCACCTAACCTTTTCTCTCAAGCTATCATGACAGCTGCCATGTACTTAGGTTAAAAGTCATGGTTAGACCAAGTGTTATCCGTATCTTGGGATTTACTTTCAATGCCAGCCTCTCTTCAAGCTCTGGTCAATAATACTGACAAATACTTTTTTCATTGCAGGTCTATTTCTGAGCATGGGCCCAGCCAAGTGATGGTAGATGATGGGTAAGTATGAGAAACTTACTTGCGACTGATTCAAGAATTTATTAACTGAAAATAATTCCATTCATCAGAAATAATGTTAAATTTGTATTCAAAAGTACACTTTTTGTTAATAATTAACTCATTTGGGCATATTTTGAGAATCGGCCAAGCGAGAAAACCATTCCCTGATAACATCTAAATTATTGGTTTAAAGGTCAAATATGAAAAGTATTAAGTTCATAAAACTACGTTGTACAATATTTTTGATGAGACAGAAGCATTTCATTTCTTTCATCAGGGCCCCAGATGAAACAGTAGTACAAAGTAAATTTGAAACTAAAGTAGTGGAAAGCAGAACAAGTTCAGAGGTTGGTTACTGAACTTGTGTAGCAAGGCATGAAAACCAGAGAATTTGGAATCAACCATTCATAGAAACACATCTTAAAGCCTTTATTTAAGAGGTGCCGTGGTCTAAGGCTAAGCACACTTGGCCTGGGTATCGAGAAGCCCCGAGAAGAGGGAAACTAGGGAGAGAGGGAAATCAGTGTACTGGGAATAGTCTACTTATTATAGTTGGGTTTGGGAGGATGATGTCTTGAGACTTTACCCTCTGCCCTTGACCGTCATATTTGCCTGCACCGACTAGCTGCCTGGCTTCTATAGTCCTCTAATCTAGGACGCATACTTCCCTATGCGAAGTTGAAAATATTCTGATGAATGTATCAATTTAGAAGAGCTGAACTTAGTGGCTAAATTTATAACGGAGAGAAGAGTTACCATACATCGTCGAATTCGCCTCTGATCAGCCAAAGTTTCAAATAAGTACTCCATGCAAAGTGGTACAAAATTTATGACAAGTTAACAAAATAAAACAGCTCACCTCAAATATCGATCGAATATACACACAGATGAGCATTTTATTACTAATAAAAAGAAATTGTCGCGTTGTTACTAGTTATTTAACATTTGTTATTCTTTCTACAGTGTACACCAGAAATACATTCGCAAAGTGATGAACTAGCTTTAGAGGAGGTAAATTATCCTACTGACCAAGGTATAATACATTGACGGCTACTTCTTTCGCAAGTGTTAAGTTTCAAGGAAGGCATTTTTTGGACAAAATTGTATGTCAAAAGGGCAATTTGATTGCCAAGACAATCATCATTGCAAGTCTCGTAATTTCACTGAGCTGTTAATGTGGGTGTATGCGTGTGTGTGTTTGTGCGTGTGGATGAAATAACTGGACTGTAAATATTACAGTGTTTTCTGTTGCATTAAATTCTCTTCCCACTTCACTTTATTGGCAGGCGAACGATCACAGCGTGTCACTGTTTATCGAAGTAACGTCAAAAAAGATGTCATTAAAATATTTAGCGACCCGAGAATTTTCAGCTACAGTTTTGATGTGGTTGTTATAGATGCAAGAAGCGAACCTGAGGCCGGACGGGGTAAAGAAGTTCTACTCGATGTCATGACGTGTTTCTGGCAAGAATGTTTTACAGCTCTGACGAATGGAAATAATGAAAAAATACCATACATAAGGCATGACCTCCAAAAGCCTGAATGCATGGCCATCGCACGAGTCCTTGTTTATGGGTACCAAAAGATGAAGTATTTTTCTCTTCAACGTTCAAATCTATCTGTTGCATTGTGCTTGTTTGGGGAGAAGAGTATAACTCTAGAGTTTCTGCTGAAGTCGTTTCGGGAATATATCGTGGCAAATAAAAGGATAGGGAGGTGTTGGATATGAGTCTAAGAGATTACTTTGACCCCCAAGATCATGATGGTAATGATGATGACAATGTGCCGGAGTTTCTCTTCAAATGCAAGTGTTTTCGAAAGCCCGACAAAGACAACATCAGATCCATCATCAGCGAGCTTGCCCATCAAGAGCTCATCCAGAAACCGAGATATGTGTTACATTGCTAGGCTCCTATACTGGATGTGCAACGATGTGAACACAGCTTCTAAACACTCGAGGGGCTTGATCAACTCTACGAAAGTAAACGACCAACAGCGAAGAAGATAATGAAACTGTTCCGAGGAAAGCCATCAACCAGTGAACGTTAAAGTCTTGACTATTTGAAGAAATTTGTCAATTCCTTGGAGGGGAAGGCGCTTTCTATGTTTCTACGCTTTTGCACAGGGAGTGATGTGATCACCTGTGACTCCATAAGAATTTGTTTCTCTTCATTGGAAGGACTCCAGAGACACCCTGTGGCTCGTACATTTACTCCCATCCTGGAGCTTCCTACGTCATGCCGTAGAGTTTACAAATATCATGACGGAAAACCAAGCATCGTCATCTGACAAGATATAACAGCGTTTCCCCTATCTTTGTACAAAAGGGCTCAATATTTTTCGATAGCTGATATGGTAGTAAAACGTTGCATTGTGAACCACGCGAATAACTAGTAAATACTTATTGCGGATAATTCATTGTTTTGCCTCTTCAGGTGTGCGAAGAAATTATAAACTTTTTTCCCCTCATGATTTCTGATAACTGGATAAGTTCATATGAGCAACCACTTTGCGGAGGTTGATAGCAGCATCTCTCCTCTGCAAGATCCAATTCGTCCAAGTCGACGTCCACTGTATAGTTCCTTGTACCAGACACTTCCGGGAAAAAGAATAGTACATTAGGCCTACCAGATGGGAATTTCAAGTTTGTTGAAGATCGAATTCGATGGAGATTCCACAATCCTACTTCCCGATGAAGTTTATCTCGCAATATAGGCATGAAAGAAAACTTGAGAAACTCTTCAATACAGTCATTGTCATAATAAAGGCCACAGTTCCTGTTGTCTTCCACCATCTAAGACAGTCTTTTCCCAGTATACTTCACCAGGCTTCAATTCGATGGTTAAAAACTGATTTCCCATAGATGTTGAACTGTCATCCCCCGCTCAATCATCTTCACCATCTCGCCTTTGCACCGCTGCAACATCTCAGTTCGGCAATCAGCTCTTCTAACCCTCGCAGTTCCTCCAAGTTACTGGACACAGTCAACAAAGTACTTAGAAGTAACGGTAGGATCATTGTTGGTGTATCCAACGTCAAGCCATAAAATTCACCAACTAAATCCATTGATGGTTCCGTGGAAACAAAAACCAAACGGCTTCAATTTATCATAGCCATCTATGTGCCACAAATGATTGGGCCCCTTGGTTATGTATTGCCTCCATTTTAGTCTACGCCTTGCTCTTAACTCAACCTCCTCAGGATCAAGGATATTCAATAACTCCCGAACGTTTTCTTTGCCAACAACAAGCCGGTAGTCGTTGAGTCATTTGCCTGTATTCGATGTTACAACTGCTTCCTCTGAGGTGTTCTTCCACAGCTTAAACAACCTGGCGTTTCTTATTTGTCCGAGTCCTTCGGCTTTTAAAATCCTTTTTAACTGTCTAAGGCTTAAGCTGATGCCATGACTGAATACAAGAAACAAGAAGATCTCCGTACACTCCAGCCCAAGATGATAATAGATTTGAATTAAGTCATGACGTTAAGCGGGTATTCTTGCAATGTAGGAATGTAGTTTGCAGGTCGGACACCATCGCATGAGGACGTTTTCAAAGCAAATGTCAGAATTAAAAGCACGGCGAAAGCGCTGGTCATTTTGGTGTCCCACTAAAGAGAAAAAATTTCTCGTTTTACCAACGATATCAATCCGCAGAATTCGCCAAGTCCACAGCAGTAACTAGATTGGGGTGAGCCACCTTCCACAGAAATTCGGGAAAAAGCCGGGAGAAAAATCGGGAAAAATGATGTTAATGATGGGCGGACACGGTGAGCTTTGCTCTCGCTTTTTACATCTTCTGCTGCTATCATACTGGGTCTGGAACCGTGAAAGTGGGCTCAGTGTTTCTCTAAGTGGTTGCTCGTCTAGTCTTCGTTTTAAAATATCTCCTGGAAAGCAAGAATGGGGAGATTTATCAAGGAACATTTTTGGTTCTGATTGGAATAGTGCGTCGTTTTGCCTGGCCCTTGGGATTACAGATAACATGTTCTTATTCTTTCCACACTGGAATTCGACAATGCTCAAGGTGATGACCAGAACCAAGCGTGGTCATCGCCCTTGTTTGTACTATTCTAATTGCAGTGCGGCATTCCGCTGTGTGATGATTTATGACATTGTTTTCAAACTGAACCCTGGTCCCAATGGTCCGTTAACCCGCAACCCAAACAATCTTATTACTGTGGAGCGGAGTGGAATGTCACTCAGTGACAACATGTCATTGAAAATATGCAGTTTGAATGCTAGATCGTTACGGAATAAATCAGCAGCCTTTGTTGAATTGGTGAATGATTTGAAAGCCGATTTGTTTACAATTTGTGAGACCTGGTTGTCCGTCAACGACTGTGCTTTATCATGGTTTAAATCTTATTTGGCGGGAAGAACGCAGCAGGTCTCAGTTAACGGATCGCTCTCTGATAAATTTAATCTGTCTTGCGGGGTCCCACAAGGTTCTTGTTTGGGCCCCCTCTTATTTACCATCTACGCGAGTTCGCTGTTTGACATCATGAAATCTCATCTGCCATCCGTTCACACCTACGCGGACGATACACAGCTATATATATCGTTTAATCCCGTTGATAAGACCAGCGAGGCTGATGCTGTGATTGCGATTGAGAACTGTATTCGTGACGTTCGCGCTTGGATGAGAGATGATAAGTTAATGCTAAATGACGATAAAACTGAAATCCTGATCATTGGCACGGAACGACAGTTATCAAAGGTGTCCGTTGACAAGATCAAGATCGGCCAAGCTGAGGTATCGCCTGTTTCTTCAGTGCGCAATTTGGGCACCTGGTTCGATTCTCATCTGGACATGTCGACTCATGTGACTAAGACTTGTGCTAGCGCGTTTTATTATTTGTACAATATCCGGCACATTAGGAAGTATTTGTCTCGTGAGTCCACCGTGAGGCTTGTTCACGCGTTCATCACAAGCAGGCTTGACTACTGTAATGGTTTATTGTACGGTGCTCCTGAGTATCTAATTAAGAAACTTCAAAGAGTCATGAATGCCAGTGCTCGATTGGTTTACTGTGCACCTAAGTATTGTCACGTTACTCCTTTGCTAAGAGAACTCCACTGGCTACCAGTGCGCTTGCGCGTAGATTTTAAGATTCTCCTTGTTACATTTAAGATTCTTCACGGTGTTGCGCCTAGCTATCTTAAGGATCTTGTCTCTGTCTTACCGGTCTCACGTTACCAACTACGCCGTAACAATAATGGTATATTGTTAGAAAGACCTCAGCTAAGAACGAAGAAGACCTTGGGAGATCGCGCGTTATCGATGGCTGCCCCCTTTTTATGGAACAGTCTTCCTCTGCCAATTAGACAGGAAACATCAATCGACTCTTTTAAACGCTCTGTTAAAACATATTTATTTAAAAAGGCTTTTAGTTAGATTATTTATTATTTATTTTTATTATTTTTATTATTTTTATTTTTTTAATATTGTAATGTTAATATTGTAATATTGTAATTTTACCGAGTAATTTTACTGGTTTTAATTTAGTTTTTAATAATATTGTAATGCGCTTTTGAGTATTTTTATAGAAAAAGCGCAATATAAGTATTAAATATTATTATTACTATAAAAAATTCGGGAAAAAGCCGGGAGAAAAATCAGGAAAAAATTCGGGAAAAAGCCGGGAGAAAAATCAGGAAAAAAGTTAGGAAAAAAGTCGGGAAAAATTTGGGAAGAAAGTCGGGAAAAAATTCGGAAAGAAAGTCCGGGAAAAAGTCGCGAAGAAATTAGAGGAAAAAGTCGGAAAAAATCGAGAAAAAAGTCAGGAAAAAAGTCGAGAAAAAAATCGGGAAAAAAGACGGAACGCGTGCAAAACTTAAGGGGATATTCAAAATTGAAAGTGTGATTTAATGGCACTTAATGGACTCCGTATTTTTTCACTTATTTCGATGGAGCTTTACGCATTTCCATCCCTTTTCATACATAGTTTTGGTTGATAAATTGTTTGGTCGATTGTCAAGTTTTATTTTTCAATTAAACTACAGCTCTATCATTTTCAAATTTGATCTTCCGCTTTGTGGTAGGAAAGAACCTCTTTACACTGGGTCTGTTATTCTGTTAATATCTCAGTCCATCGATAGCGTGCAGTTAAAATGTAAGGGTTGTCTACCTCCGTAAGGAAATAATAAACAATGTTACCTCAGTATACAAGCTTTTATTGTTTCATGTGGCAAAAAGAGCATCTGGTGAAAGATCGTCCTCTCCTGCCCGAAGATTAAATACCTTATTTCCGCGCATATTTAAAATTTCTATTTCCCTGTACTGATTCCGCTGTAGTTGAAGGCTAAAAAGTTATAAATAAAGTGACAATAGAAAAAGGTTTTCTTTGTATCACTACTATTAAAGAAAGCGAGGAAGGAGGGGTCGGCGCTTATTCGAGAAGAGCGCTTGTTTGACACAACGACCTGAGGGGTGGGCACTAATTGGGGGAGGGCGCTTATAGGAGTGTGGGCACTAATTGGGGGAGGGCGTTCTTCTCCCTTCTTTTGCCACACTCAACAGAGTTTTAAAAGCTTTGACGACGAAATGTCAACCACATTACACTATTTACATTAATCTCAAATGGAATGTTTGAAAATTAAGGCAATCAGAAGCCTGTCCTGTATTAACAAAACAGCTAAATTTGTTCACAGCATGTCGAATGCCATGAAAATAAAAATACCGATCCTAAATCACGAAATTTATCTTCACATTGTTTTTTTGGCTTTTAGTGAAGACTTCCATCAAACGTTAAGGTTTTGTTCTTCGCCACATTAAAATATTTAATATTTTACGGAGAATGGCTGCATTAATGAGTTCTCTTTTTTAATCAATAGAAATGAGAGAATTGTCTGCACAGTCAGCCTGATGAAGTAATCAATTATCTGAGCAGGAAAAAACCAACCAAGGTAAATTAAAAAAGAAAAATGACAAAAATATCTCAGAGTCTCTAACTCAGTAACATGAAAACCAAATTTTGAAACTCAAAGCTGTAAATCAAAACTACAACCAACATAAGGAAACATCGTAAAATAGTCTAAAATCAAAATATATCCAAATCAACGATCAATTTCAAGGAAAAGACACTCTGACTCCAGAGAAACATCCTACATGTTCTCACCGATGTTGTGGAAGGGAGTCCCCATTTTGGTGAGGGTACCAATTTTCCTAAGCTAAGTGATTCTAAAATATTTATTTCCTTATTTTTCATCCAACTGTTGATTGTTTGTTTATTTGATCACAACACTGAAGTCTATTACCATTGGTCAGAAACCTACCAGACCAACCAATCACCTTGAAATGTGCCTTGTCTAGTCAAACTTCCCAAACCTGTTTTCAAATTTTAATCAGAACAGTCCATACAATTTAGGTATTGACTTCTCTAGCTGAACAGATCTGAAAGAATTCTCTCAATGGATGGACTGGTCTGACCAGCCAGTTCTGACCAATGGTAAGTTTCCCTAGTTACAGGCAGTCTACTAAGCCAGTCCTGGTCAGCTACGTTTCCAGGCAGGACTGAGGTTCCTCCTCGTCATCTGAGTGGGTAACTGATCCAGGATCTGGTTCTTGCTCTGATCCATGGAAGAAGCTCCAACGTTTTCTCCAGTATTCATCTGTTGGCCATTCTTCTTCAGGCTTGACATTCCCTTTGCGATCCTGTAATAAATCACAAACCAACACTCAACATCATCTTGTTAAACAACATAAACCTGAACTCACACTTATTTACCCTGGTTACTTTTTATACGAAGAGAAATTAGGCCAAGAGTATTTTTGACTGAGTCATTTTAAAAAAACTTTTATATTGAGGAACGTTCCTTGTAGCCTTACATCACAAGGCTCACCAAAATTTAGTTATCATTCAATTATATCCATGGTGGGGCCCATACCGATTACTTTGTTAGAGACTAGTAAACTGAAGTGTTCAAGAAATATACATTACATCATATGATGAATAAAAACTCATTCATTCAGGGACTACTTTTCATACAGTCCTACAGGTACATGTACCTGACAAGCCCATGCAGAGAATACAAGGTATACATAAGTGTAACAAGATGGAAACAGTAGGGTGCATATCGCAAAAGAAGCAAACTGAAAAAATGTCTTATTTTTCATCGTAAACAGTTTTATCAGTTCTGCATTATTATTACTTAGCGGGCTAACTGACAAAGTGATTTTAAAACACCGAGAAACTAATGCAAGGTGCACTAGAGTCGCGGGTTCTTCCATAAACACAGTACGAAATAAATGCAAACAACAAAGCGACAGCGATGTAAACAGCGAAATGAAAGTGTAACAGTGCACTCCGCGGTATTTACAAAAGTCGCATAAAAAAATTCAAAGCAGTTCAAATTCGTTTATAAAACTGATTTGCACTGACTGGTCGTGACTCTTCATGAAACAAACTTTATTCTTGTTCTATAAAAGCAATCGAGATATCGCATGCTACTGGTGATCCTTCGACGATGAATAGTTCCAAATTCAATCCAATCAATTCACGAATACACAGCTGGCAGAATTACAACTTCTTCAATTTCCTCAGCAGGATTTAAACAAGAACCGTAAAACTACAAAGCAATACATGGCAAAATTCAACAAGAAAACGAACTGTTTGCGAGTCGGCTTGTTGTGACAAAATACAAAAGAATGTTATGAAAGCATAATTAAAACGGAACGAAATTGAGCTGCGAATTACCCTTTGTCCAGCAATGCGGGTAATGGACTGGGCTAATCATAAGGAATCTAAAGAAGATGCTCCATTTTAGTTTAACTTTGACTGTTGCCCGCACACGTGTTTTTTGGAAATGTGCAAGTGTTTCTCGTGGCTTAGCGATAGCTACATCGCACTTGCTCCGCGAACCAAGGGCGTAAAAATTCTTAAAACAACACCACAGGAAATCGAACAGAATCTATAAGAATTATGACTACATCTATGCAAACTAAGATCACAAAACTTACGTGGTAGAGTGTCCCCAACGAGGAGATATTACTCTGACGTACAGCTGCACTCAAATCATTCACTTGTTGCTTTGTCATTTTAACATCAAAAAGCCACAGCTCCTCCAGGTAAGGAACACAGTTGAGATGTCGAGTGAGAACACTTACTCCTTCACCAAGAGGAGCCAGCGCAGGCTAGGAGCCTCGTGCAGAGATCTGGCGATGGCTGCGGCAGGTTTGGCTGTTAAATTGATATCCTCTAGTAATAATCTCACAAGTCTGTCAGTAAAGATGATATGAGACACCAGGGTCTCTGTCAACCGAGCATCAATGCTTTCAAAGGGTTTACCAACAATATATATCCATCTTAGAGAAGTGCAAAGTGATAAACAGTCAGCCAACATCTTCATCTCTTGCCTTTCTATGTCGTAAATAAAAATGTTCCTCACACAGGAAAGGCTGTTTGGAGTGGGACCAGTGATGCTATCAGTGTTCTTATTCAAACACGAAGCTGTTTCGTTGTCGTGTTCATTCAACGAATCACCGACACGCTTCACCTGAGTAGACTCTCCTCTTGATGAAATGGGCTCTCGCAGCATTTCAGTTAAAGAAGTGTCATCAATTCCTTCTTTCCGTAACTGAAGAATGTAAAGGATAATTTTTCTTTCTCTCTTCAAGAAGAACTCTTTCAAAGGACGACGCGGGAACTTCTGTAGAAAATCTGCGGCTTTCTTTTCTCCCGAACAGCTCAAAATAACAGCATTTGTGTCCTCCGCTACAGTGATCAAGTTTCGATAGCTTTTCTCTGAATCCACTACGTAGCGAGGAAAAAAGATAAAGTCGGGTATCACGGCAGATTTCAGCAAATGTCCATTTGCAGTAATGTTCAGCTGGTTAGAATCAAGAAACAAAACACCTCCAGTGTAAGAGGGAAACACTGAGCAGAGATCTTGTCTCTTCTCGGCTGAACAACAAATGTAGCTATGCGATATAAGCTCTAGATATAGTTTTTGGTTTTGAGACAACGGTTTTTCAATCTGCTGAATCAGCTCAATAAAATCACATTCCGACAAAGATTCCTTTCTTCCAACAGACCCTACATGACAGAAAACTGCGCACGCGGCTTCTGTTGACAACTCACAGGCAAATTTGAGAACTTCATTCATCTTCACGATCTGTTCAAATGATTCAACTTTGGAAAGGCTAGGCGTACTATCTCCTTTAACTGACAACACTTCCTCCTTAATGTGCCAGACTGCAAGGAACTCTTGCACGGATTTATGAATGAAATAGGCCCCTTTCTCAGGATTGAGACTCGTAACGTTCACAATCTGGAAAAGCCCAACTTTACTTAATCTTTGAAAACTTCTTGAAATATTGCCGAGGAGTTTACTACAGCGTACGTAAAGACGGTCTTGTAGCAGTGCTTCGTAGGCAGCCTTTCCAAGATTGCTCAGGTCTTCTCTGGCTTCATTAGAGGTCACTTCCACAAACGGTATAGGCTGTTGACCTTCACCTTTGTGATCTAACATGGTTTGAATGAATTGCGTGAATATGTCGGCTCGTGATTTTGGCAGTCCTTCGTGATGTTTCGCTTTCCACAAAATACACAGCATCAGTAAGAGGAGAGGCATTTCTGCCATGCCAAGGAGATCTTTTTCTTTCAGGTAGGACATAAACTCGTCAAGATCTTGTTCACCAGCCAAAAACTTTCTCGCAAAGGTTACGATTTGACTCCAGCTCTTGAAACCCTGAATTTCCAACTGAACGTGGCTGGGGCCTATTAACTCGTCGCATTTAAGTTGTCGCGTGGTGACAATAACGTGACAATCTCTTAGTTGCTCGCCCCTCCAAATTTCTAGAATAGGTGAGTGTGCTTTTGCACAGCTGTACTCATCGTAGCCATCCAAAATAAGAAGCACTTTATCTTGATTGTTGATTATGTAATCATTGAGACTATCGACTGAGATCGGACCATCACTCGCCAGCAATTTAGACGCACGTAAAACATCACGGATGTCTTCCGAATCACACACATCTCGCAACTTGATCAGAAGGAAAATGTAAAAGTTCATAAGAACTTCTTTTAATGCTTTCGACCAGTCATATGCAGCCTTCTTACAAAACGTACTCTTGCCAATTCCTGGCCGACCATAAACAAGCATTCGTGTTGGTTTGCGATCATATTCATCTTCCTTGAACATGTCGGTGTAGTCTTCAAGTTTATCTTGAGTCATTCCGCTGGGTTTCCTATCATCTTTGACCCAAGACAAAGGTGTGAAGATCTTCTCAATCTCAATGGAAGAGCTCTCGTCCCATGGAACGATTTTCACCTTCCTGAAGGTTTCATAATGAGAGTTAAGCTGCTCTTGACACTTTTCAACATTAAACGGTTCTAAGAAATATTAAAAGAAAAACAGAAATTACTTTTTATTGAAGGGAAGAAGATAATTTACCCCTGCCCCCGCGCCCCCCCCTGCAAAAACCCACACTCTGTTCTGTAATTTTCCCTTCGTCGGTAACTCTTCTTAAATCGCAGGGAAGATTAAATTTCCAGCATTTATTTATTTAAGAAAAAAAGAAAGAAGTTTTGCTGTCTTGTCAGGAGCGTGGGACAAAGGAAAAACTTTGAGTCCTCACCAGGAATGGAACATAACACCTTCGGATTCTGCGCTCGGAAACTCTACTACTATAAGTACAATATAAGTTATTAGAACGAAAGCTTAATGTGAAATTTCTTAACTTGATAATTATAATACCTGCTAGCCTTCTACGTTTATTTTCTGAAGGATCATCACGTTTACAACTCTCCTCTCCTGTTGAAATGTCTGCAAAAGAGAAAGGAAAGTCAGACTATAATGATAATTAAAACACACTTTACTTAATTTGTGAAATGGGTAACAAGCAGGAGTCGGAATGAGTGCTGATTGAAGATGAAAATCTCGTGTGAGCCCGATCACGGAATAAAAGAGAGAAGAGAAACTGATGGACTTGGAGAATTGAAATTCATTGAAACGGAATAAAAGCTAAGATTTAGATCTCAACAATTTTTTAAACCGATCAGCAACAGTAAGATATTTCGTAGAAAGGTAAACAAAGAAAATTTGGGTTCATTTTACTTTGCACAAGAGTCTGGACACGAAAACAATAATTAGGAGGGCAGGGGGAGGGGGTACTTGATAAACGTGTTTAATCAACGATTTGTAATACCTAAAATTTAAGACGAGAGATAAAAGATTTAATTTAGGACTAGTTAAATACAATGAAGACGCAGAAAGTGAATAATTTCTTATTAACCCCTCTAATCAGTAATTTTAGAACGTTATCCATGACTTCAAAACTGGAATTGGAACCACTAAAGTGAATTTGTACATATCTCAGTTTTTTTTTTCACAGCAATGCCATTGAAAAAAACATGCGTATGTTTATCAGTTTTTTGATATATATTTAATTCCACTATTGGTCTCCATGCTCTCATCAGCAGATAACGATATTCTATATCGAGGAAAACAAACAAGTTACAGATCTCTTGGAAGACACAACCAAAACTGTTACAAAAATGTACACGTACCTCCGTAATGAGGCCAGTCTCCAAACACAAAAGAGTTATTCAACATGTTGGATACAACAGAAGCTGCCATGACACAAGCAAAAGTCTTCCATGGATCCTTTGTAGAAGCAACACCATGTACAAAACCACAAACACCTTTAATGACAAGCCACTCCATCTTCATGTCATGAGCTGCTGCAAACAGGCCTGAGGCAGAGAAATGAAAAATGAAAAATGAAAAAAAAAAGCGATAACAATTGGAATAGATTTAAGCAATGATATTAAAGGGAGAATGTTGCGATTAATTTGAGCAAAAAGGGCTTCGTTTTTCTGCAGATTACTCTTTCTTGTTTTTCCTCTGCTACTGGAAGTCTTTAAGAGATGTTGTGTTTTTCTGCAGGCATGTAAATTAGCACTACTCTTCCTAGAGAGTATAATGAGTAGGGCAGGTACCTTTTTGTCAGAAGCAGTATATCAGAGAGTAAGAATTTAGAATTCAGGAAAGAGTTCCTCAAACAAAAAGTATCGAGTACCTCGCCCCCAACAAGAACCTGGCTTAAGAATCTAGCAACCAGAAGCCAAGCAAGAGTAAACCTGAGAGTAATTCTCACCTTTTCCTTCCATTTCAACTGCAATTGCCCCAGGGTGTGATTGACACTGCTGTTCAGCATCAATCAGATTAGAGCAACTCAAAATCTCTCCATCACGTACATTGACTTCATGTGTTTCTGGGTTTTCTAATGGCGCCTCCCATCCATCAGCTGCACTTCTGACAAGGTTACCAACATCCCTACTCACTGGGGTTTTGTGAAAATCTGTTGTAAGCTTTGAGGATATCACCACATCTCCTAGCTGGGCTTTGTCAGGATTCGAACTGTAGCAGAAACCAACCAAAAAGGTAGCCTTGGGTCTCAGGAGTGTGACGGCATTCTTAGCAGCAGTTTGAGAACCTCCAGGATCCAAGAATTCTTTAGAACACTTCACTAAAGCAACTTTCAGTGCCTCATCTTCACCGTCACCCATCTTTCCAAAGTACACATACCCAATGGATTTCTCATAGCTTTTAGAGGAATCTCTCAGGTAATGATAACAAGCTAAGAACTCGCAATACTCCACAGTCAAAAGCAGAATGTCAACTGGACGATGGTCTATGTTCCAATGTTTCACCTTCTTCGGCAGATCTCTTGTCTTCTTTAGTGTAATACTCAGAGGTGGAGGGTCATCACTACGATTATCTGAGCAGCTGCACTTATCACCACTAGGTCCTGCCATCATAACAAACTGGGTCTGTGTTCAAAGTTTTCCTAGAAGTGAACAAATGAAATTAGAAACTAATTCAAAAAGAGATAAACATAAATAATTTGTAAACACAAGTTTGCTTATAAGCATGTCACATACCTGAAAGGTGATCAAAGTATGACCGTGTAAATTGGCCACCGTAGAAAGTTTCAAAGCTGACGTTTCGAGCGTTGGCCCTTCGTCAGTCGCTCTGACGAATGGTGTTATATCTCAAGAAGACCCTGGCTGCTGGGACCACCACGTTGACAACCTAATAACCAAAGCAAACACTTGGCTGTTTATATTGAGGGTTTGTAAGGTTTACAGCTATTCTTAAGATCAACTCAACAAGTTGTTTGACCCACTCATCTTATCCTAATTTGCGTATAGCCTGGAAGTCTGGGAATTAACAACATCACCACCACGAAAAACCATCCTCCTCAAGATCTGTTGCCCCTTAAACAAAAATACTGAGGAAAAGGGGGCATGAATTTCAGCTCCCCCAGATAAATAGACTGAAATATACAAAAACTTGTTTATCAACAGTTGTCTTTTTAAACTTGAATGATCATATTTTGTTATGTTTGATTATTCCTTTTTATTTCTTTTTATATCTTGTTTTAGATATTAAATTGTCCCTATTATCCATGATTTGGACTGTAAAGAGTCACTGCTGTTGAGTCTGATTTTTTTCAATAAAGACTTTATCATCATCAAGTATGTTTCATATTTCTTTCTCTACCGATACAAAGTGTTCATCAATATTTATCTTTAAACCACAGTTTGAGAATTCAAAGAGCAAGTATTCTAACCATTAAAACATTATTTTCTCCTCAGATGTGTAAAAATTTTGAATACGGATGTCACCAGCAATTTTAGCAGTGGTGTCCTGGTAGCAGCACATGTAAAACCACAATGTGTGGTTTATAAACAGCTATCGGTCTATTGTTGATGAAATAAAAGAAAATCAGTTCTTCAATCAAGAATGCCCTTTGGAGTAACTCCTAATTTTTTAATTAACTCACCAGAACAGAACGTTTGAAGGCAATTTCCAACTGTTTAGTTATACTCTTCGAATTATCAAAACAAATAACAAATGGAGGTCTTTGGTCTCCAGAGACATTTTAGTCGCCAGCCACAAAAAAAAAAAACTACATGTAAAGGCTGTCTAAAATTTAATTAGGATTTAGACAAGTGATTACTGCTTTATTTAATCAAAGCACAGTGTGTAGTAGCTGCTTCAGAAATGTGTAACCAATAAAAAAATGCCAGCCACTAAAGTGCCTCTGAAGAACAATGACTCATTTGAAGGAATATAAGTTGATTATTAAATTTACTGCCCACTTGGTCCTACTTTGTTTTGTTTGAGTTTTGTTTCTACTCCAAAGCTGTTTTTTAAATAGATTTTTAACTGTCAAAATGTACATAGATTTTAAATAGTTAACTTAGTTGGTTAGGAAGCCCTTCTTATAGAGATAACCTCAGGGGTCTCCCTTTCAAATACTGTATATTTGTGTTTGAATCAAGAGTTATTATCATTATTATTTTTATAATTATTATAATTATTGTTATAATTTCATATAACACTTTTAATAACAGTGTTAGAGGTATATTGTTTTGCAACTCCTTTAAGATTCATATGACCAAGATTCTTGTAAGTTAATTTAAGAGGGAAAAAAATTCTTACTTTATGGCTTAAATTTTGCTTATTGATAAGACGTGTTTAACAGAAGAGCGCCTTTTTACCCACCTTATCATGAAGTTCGTTTTGGTTAAACTCTTACAAGTGGAACTGTTATGAAAGTGCCTTTGTTCCTTTTCTTTGTGCTTGTCTAAACATTTAGTCTTTTGGTAGTTTCACCTAGTTTTTACACTAGTTTCTTTATCGCTCGTTTTCGCAAACTTGTAACACGTGGCTTACGTTGTTTACGCTTCGTTAGAACCCTACACGTTTTCCCCACTTGGCTATTAGTTTTTGTTAGAGTTCGTTTTCAAGCAGTTTCCTTTTATCCTTTTAAAGGTATAGACCTTTTGCGAGTTTGTTTTTAGTTTGAGCTGGTTTTTAATCTTGTCTTTATATCGGAATCATTGGAATGTTGATTCGTATATTTGAATTTAGCTTAGCTTCTTCCTTATAATTTTCATATTTCAGTTTACGATAAGTACTTGGATACCTCGACTACGTTAAATAAAACGGTTCAAGGCTTGTCCCTAAAATATATCCTCACTTCATAGTGTGTCTTCATTTGCGAAACTCATAGTTGTCGTCGAAGATTTGCTTCGCTTGTGTCGGCCGCTACGCCACTTAAGTTAAAAAAATAACCTAAAGTTCCTTAGTCTTCCTGTAACAATGAATTAAGGGTTGTAACAAACCCTAAAATTATATTTATTACCAAAAGCTAACACCCAAATATGCATAAGACCAAAATAGGCCACTTGTATTCTTTTTTTTTCCAAGTTGCACCTTATTCAAGACATATGTTTCACTCTGCTACCTGACTTAGACTTTGCAATTGTCATCTGTTTGCTTCTATGAAATCCAATAAGACCCCTAAATTTTTCTTCTCTTTTACCTTTGCCAAATAATTGTGTATGCAGGTATGGAGCTCAACAGAAACGTTTCATTCTATTTCCTGCAATGGTCTATGAATTAGCAAAGGTACAGTTTGCAGAATATTAACTCCAATCCCAGTTAAAACGTATAGGTTTATGAATTAAAAGATTTTAATGACCTGACTGCACGTCAATTAATGTACTTGTTAATAATAAAATTTGAGACTGAAATTTGCAAACTGACCGATAAATGCAAAAGATGCTCAAAGATGTGCTCTTAGATCCTACGTGTCAGGTCTTACAGGTAGCTTTTGGTGACCTTAGGCTGTCTTGGGTACAGTTACAAATTTAGTCAGACCATGCTGGTCAGGTTTATTTGATCAGCCAATTAAATTACCTAAGTTGTTCCTTACAGAATATTTATACATTAATCATCACAGCAAGATATAAACGTTTACTTCATGTGATAAAACAATAACATCATCAATAGCATTAAGGTATTAATAAAGAATTGCAATTATTTTTTATCATGTGTGAGAAAACAACATAGTGCCAATGATGTTATGATTGGCACAATACCAAAAGTTAATTATGATTAAGTAGACTGTAAACAGCTGTTACTCTTTTTCATAAAATTTCACCCTTTTGCCCCTAAGAGTGACTGTAAGTATCTAATTTCTCCTTATAACATTACTCCTAAATCACACATTAAGGTCACTAGAATGAAAGAAATGATCACCAGCTAAAGAGGCTCTTGATTATTAAACAAATTCTCTTTATCTGCACCTTAGGAAATGTACTGAATACATTATGGAGAATACAGAGACTAATGTTAGGGTGTAAAGGATTCATGTTGGAACAATTAATCCACTCAAAACAAAACAGACCCACAATTACAAAATAACCAAGATTGGGAACTTAGAATGTTATATTCACCTAAGTTCACACCTTAAGACATTATAAAACTCACCCATGCTGCCACAAGTTAATTCCTGTATTTAGAAACTCAGATCCAGGATCTGAGTTGTTGCCTTTTTGGAGAGGACTTTGAAATTTATGTCTCAAATCTGTTTCTATATACCTGCAATATATACTTCTTTATCTGTCACATTTAAGGCCCAATTTTCACAGTGATGCAGAGCAAAAGATGTTCAAGTTCAATTTTCAAGCCAACATAATTGCTTTGTTGATCAAACTTAACTGTAATAAACCTTTTTTATTTCAAACATTTCTTTGAGTCTTTGCTCTAATTACTGTTGGATAACATAAGACATTTCATCTTGAATGACCTCAGTATACCTTGTCTTGGACTGTTCTTTTAATTGTTTGGTGATATTCTCTGGAGTTCAACTGTGCTCAACTCAAACCCGCTATATCATGGGAACCTTGGGCAGGCAACTTATGGATGGTCAGTAAAATGTCTTCAATCTAGGTAGCAAGAACTGTGAGTGTTAACGGGGATTTAGAAATTTACAAACATTTCTTATCTCACCTAACAAATTCAGGCTTTGTTCTCAATTTACAAGTCACTTGTGATCGTAAGGACTGGCTTGAGAGGAAAGGTTGCATGGCTATAGAAACTGAGAGACAACTCTGAGCTTTGTGTGATCATGCATGCCCTTTTATCAAACAACAAATAAAGCAAAGAACATAAATTAAGAGTATGGCATACAGAAAATGTGCCTAAATTTTTTTCTCATGAAATTATATTGTTTTCACATCACTTCCCCTTTTTGCCCCTTAGAGATTTTGAAAACCAAACACATCCATTGAAGTCTACCAACCTTAGACCAGTAGGCTCAAGCTACATGAGTGGGAGGGGGAAAGGAGAGGGTTAATTAGATTGGAAAAGTCTTATTTCTGTTATATTTATAGATAAATATTTGTGACTTCAACACTACAGTCCACATAAACTATCAAAAAATTAAGTGGTCACAACTTATTTTAAAGGGCCACCAAGATGACAAAATTCCAGGTAACTATTTAGCTTTCTTACAAATAGATTATCTCTTTATCTATGAATTTTAAATTCTTGTTCCTCAAAAGACTCACATTAGGCAAGAGATGTACAAGTCGGTTCTTTTATATTTTAACATGACCTGTTCCTTCTGATTCATTGTTATTTGTCCTAAAATTTTAATCAACTCTGCATGTTAAACTCAATCTATGTCAACTCCACTGTGCTGTAAGGTTCAGCCAGCAGAGGTGTGTTTACAAATGTGGACAAGGATTAGGAATGACAAATGATCACTTAAAAATCAAACTACAATATGAGTAACTTAATTACAACAATAAGACAGTACTCTGTGATTTGAAAAAAACTTCTAATGTAGGTGGTATGAAAGAAATAGTAATCAGAAGGCAATTGAATCTTGGAATAAAAAGCTGCAAGATCAATCAAAACATGAGAAAGTAATGACAGCCAACTCCAGCTGCCATTTATT